TCCAGCGGATGGATGAGGATCTACACTTTCAACGGCAAGAGTCGATGGCTACAAGCAAAGGTTGAGGACATGTGTACAGGATCGCCTGATCACACCCCAATACACCTCACTGCAATCATTATTGAGCCGACTTGGGTACATGTTCAGGATCGCCTGTTCATACCCCAATGACCCCGGAGGTCTGCCGAGTACTGATTTTGGAAGGGAATTGTCTGACAAACTGCGGTACCGTCGTATCTGGGCCCAACCGTTCAATAGACTTTCCAGTAGATGTCCTTGTTGGAGCGAAGGTTCTTCCTTTGGACTTGCTGTTTCAAGCTGAGTGGAGATGTTGCGCCCTGAGCTAGTGGGTGCATTGCAGGGATGAACGGATTGGATGCCACTCTCAATGGAAGGAAAATGTCTGACAAACTGCGGTACCAGTCGTATCTCGGGCCCAACCGTTCAATAGACTTTTCCTTGAGTGGCGGTTCTCCCTTTTGGAGGCCGAGTAGAGATTTGTTTGCCGTGAGCCTATGAGGCGCTACCCTTATCCCAGAGCAACAGGGATGGATTCTTGAAGAAGTGAATTGGATGCCTTGATCGGACGCCATTGTCCGTGGCTGTGAGCTGCGCTACCCTTATCCCATAGCAACAGGGATGGATTCTTGAAGAAGTAAATTGGGTGGCTGTGAGCTGCACTATCCTTATCCCATAGCAACAGGGATGGATTCTTGAAAAGGGAATTGGATGCCATGATTGATCGGGCGCCATTGTCAACGGCGCTTCGACCCCTTTAAAACTTGTAAAGACTTGTTACTTTCCAACTGCGTGACTCTCTGTTTCTCGTCTCTCGTCTCTGCGGGTGCATCGTAGTGCGAGGTAGTAGGAGAAAGCAAGCTCATCCAGGTACGAATTGATAGAATAGATATAGAGCATTCGTCAATGATAGTCCCGTGCCATCCGACGTTATCTGGATGTCTGCACCAAAGTCAAAGTCTCCGTTGCCTCCATAGATCGAGCTTCTCAAAGGAATCCAAGGTTGTGAATCTTTGTTGCGCTTGTACGGTACGGTACAGTTGAATCAAACCACGATCATAGATTTGGTTCGAACCTGCTTACCAGGAGCACCCACCGCCAGAAGTGTCCCATCCCGAGACAGCGATACGGCAGTACGTACCAATGCCATCATGCTGCGGATCACGAGGTGCAATCGGCAGACCCACTGCCTCCCATTCGACTGTGCTGTTCGTTGTCGTCGTCGTCGACGATAGAGCACGACGCTATTGGCAAAGAAGGAACCACCGGTGGTGCAATGCCAGAACGTAGATCCGAGAAAAAGGCAGCGGAATAGACCCCCGTTTCCAACTTGGCGCAGAGTCATGTTGTCGCGGTCAATCTCAACAACACGGACTGACTCGACCGGGTTCCGTCGTGGCTGCCACGTACGTTCCATTGTCGGATAGTAGTGCCAAGAGTGCCCCCATGGTGATGTGTAATGTAATAGCGCCAATCTCTTGTGCACTAACTAATATCATGAGCTAGTTTGTAATAGTTTGTACAGTACACATACAGACGTTCGGCAATGGGTGCTGCCACGGCCAGCCGTCATGGGATAACTTGATTTGTTGGTTCCTAACTTTAGAAACCCACTCGCAACCACATGGCTCACTTCGATCGTCGGGGGCTTGCAATGCAATGTGAGGGTGGAATTGCCAAGAACGACTTGCTCGTCCAAGCGAAGAGGGGCGTCACCCACCATGGCCAAGACAAGTGCAGCAAGTGTAGGAATGGAGAAGGCATCGTCTGGCTGCGGTCCAGAATGGCAATCGTTTGCGTTTCGTTGTTGTTGTTGTTGTTGTTTGTGTGATTCTATTCGATGAATGTGAACTTCCTGGCTGTTGATGTGCTGCTTCCAAGATAGATACGACACTACCAATCAATCTCCATTGCGAGAATCAATCGAACCTGGAAGGGGCTGTGAAAGCCCAGATGCTCTCGCAGCTGACCAAGAATGGCGGCCTGCTGGGTGCATCCAATGGATAGTACTGTATCCTTCCTGGGAGAACGAAGCCAATGTTTGGCCCTAATCGGCATCGCTGCTGTCCAAAGCGAGAATTGGTCGCACCGTACCGGTAGATTATTGATTGACCATGAAGATCCAAATAAATATTCCTTCATTGTAGCGAGTCAATTGAGTGGCTGCACAGCCCCGAACGTCATTTTCGAAAAATCTTGCGAAAACTCGGTACCGGTAGGTATGTAGGTAGGAAATGATTCGTTCCATTGTTGTGTCAAATATGAGTCTCTCTGTGTGCTGGGCAACCAGCTCGATCGTAGCTTTGATGACTTTGTGGCTGTTCTGTTCTCACCAGAGTTGGCTAAACAATAGCGAAAAATCGACCATGGCGTTGTTGCAACGGGCAAGAGCCAGCGGCAGATGCCCTCCGTCTCTCTTAGTTAGCAAGCAGAGAATAGAATGCCCCCAGGTGATGGACAAGTCGCTTCGGATTAAATTTTCTCGGCTGTCATGAATGAAGGTACGTTGATGAGGTAGACAAGCAAGGGGCCCCGCTCATGCTGTCAGAAAGCAACCAAGAAGCAAGGCATGGGGCTGAAGGTGCCCGCACTACTAGACACGACTCTTTCAAGATCATCGCTGCCTTTCTGGGCTCATTCCATCGTTTGGGATGACCAGTAGCAGCGGCGTGGGGTCTTCTATTTTAAAATAGACTAGACCGCGCTTGTTGTGTTGTGTTGTGTTTCCTTGTGATCACAGCGATCGAAGGCAAGGAAGGTCTGGCTGACGTCTGGTCATTGACCCAATCAAGAGCGGCGCGGCTGCAATTGGAAATGCCCTCCTTCTACTCCAGGGTGGGCGAATGCCCAGGCATCTGATGAAGACATCCTGATATTATGGAATTCACAGGGCAAGGAAAGGCTGGGAATTGTTTGCCTCTCTTTTGTTATCGAGAATAATAATGAACCTGTCATCGGCGTCCTTTAGTCCGATCCAAAGGATCTCATCTCTCTTTATCTTGATAGTGAGGGAGGGATGCTGCAGCTCGTTGGCTTTGCCTCGGACAGTCGAGTCTTGTGGGCAGGGAAGCTCCAATTTTTGCCGCCGACAGAACCCTTGCATGCCAATGGCAATGACATGCGAAAGATGTGCATGCCCTGATGATATCATTCCGAACCAGATGTATCTCACACCAGTGAGTCTTTTATAGATTGCCTTTCCTCACTAAAACCAGAAGACTGAAAAAGCTGAGAAGGTACTAGCTAGCTAGTAGACTAGACTCGGTACTACAGTAGTCAAGATGATGGTCCATAAGAGTACCAACGGCAAGATCAACCACAAGGAAGAAAATGAACGAATGATCCGCTTGGATGACGCCGTCGACGAGCCGATGGATGATGATGATGAGAAGGATACTTTGAGCAGCAATCATCATCACTCTCTTCCGGAGCATCACATTCCTTTTTCAGCAGCCGAACAAGAAGATCACAAGCCATGGCACTTTATTATTTCCACCAAGAAATACATCCACACGACGTTGACTGCCGTATTGGCATTGTCTCTGGTGCTGGTCTTGGGGATTGGTCAGTCGTCGTCGTCGTCGAGAGCATCTTCCAGTGCTGCTGCTACCGTTGCGGATAGCACTACTACAGCCACTGGCAAGATACCCTGGGCACCACTTCCCGACTTTTCCCAACCCATTTCTCGCGTGGCATTTGGTAGTTGCATGAAGGAAGACATGCCCATGCCCTTTTGGGATACACTGCTCGAGTTCCATCCGGATGTTACCATTTTGGGAGGAGATCAAGTTTACACGCAAGAACAAGATGCCTGCTCCGGACAAGGCAATTGCACTCTGTTAAAGCAAGCGTACGATCAATTGAACAATCACCCGTCCTTCCAAGGAGCAAAGCAGCGACTCCCAATGCTTGGCATGCTCGATGATCACGACTATGGTCTCAATGATTGCTATGCCGACAATCCCTACAAGGATATTGCCAAGGATCTATACTTTGACTTTATGGATATCCCCCAGGATGACGAACGACGTTTTCGCGACAATGAAGGACTCTACACCAGTTATGAATGGGGATCGGGCGATCAGATTCTCCAACTCATCCTGCTGGACACGCGCTATTCTCGTTCGGAATTCCTCTACGACGATGAAAAATGGGCGTACACACCGTACGGGCATGACCAAGATCACGGCAAACAATTCCTCAGCCCGGCGCAATGGGAATGGTTCGAACAAGTCTTGCAACGACCTGCCAATGTCCGGCTCATTCTCTCCACCCAACAGGTATTGACACAGGGGGAATGGGGATTTGAACATTGGAGTCTCATCCCGCGAGAACTCCGCAAACTCGTGCGTCTCTTGAAAAAGTACTGCAAACACGTCAAGAATCCGTCCTTGCCGGTTCTGCTGTCGGGAGATCGACACATTGGTGCCCTTTACAATGATCCAGCGCTCTGGGACGAACTCTACGAAGTGACAGCCTCGAGCTGGACGCATACCATTCCCGATGGCTGGGATCCCGATGGTGTCAAGTGTTCGACGTATCCCAATCCGGCCGTTGATTGCATCGAACAGGATCCCACTCGTATTGGCGACTGGGTGGGTGTCAATCATTTTGGAATGGTCGACGTCGATTGGCAAGATCGGACCGTTCATCTAACTTTGGTGCGAGCCGAAACGTCTCATGCCTATTATGTCAAACAAAAGTGGCAGTACAATACCGATGCGGGGCAAGTGCTAAAGTCTCTGTCCTTGGATATTCCCTAGATGGATGGATGGATGGATGGGGAGAGACCCCTTTTGCAACCACCTCGAGACTGGGTCTAGTGACACGTATTACTACCAACTGGTAACTTGCCTACTCAGGCTGATTGAACGTCTTTTTGCAACAACAAGCCGCGAAAGTAGACGTACATATCTTTTTTTACACAGTAACCATGGTTAAAGGTAGATCTTTTACGATTCTTTTGATAACGATGTGTTGTGGATACTGCCACCGAAGATCCATTCCGCCAGTCTCCAGATACCACATCTCGCCGGATACAATAGCTCGAGCCCACAACCGTCCTACCAGTACTGTACTACAAGCATTGCTTTGGATGGTTCAGGATGTTGTCCACCTCGATGATGGTCTCATTCACTGCTTCCAAACGGAGCTTCCTTAAACAATCGCTCCTTTGGCTGCAACTTTCTGTGGGATGACGTAGCTAGCTGAAGGCTTCTCTCCAAACCAATCCTACTCGAGCGCCAATTAAGTGCTCTTTGTTACTTCAACAGATTCACCATCAACGTTGTGCTTGAGTATAACTTCCTACGGCGGAATGAAGCTCCCGAGCACCCAACAGGATGCGACTGTTTGACTTGTGCACGATACGATACACCAGTACCTCACCCCTTTCAAGTTTGTCGTCTTCGTTGAATGTCCAAAATCTATATTCCACCATCTCCTGCTTATTTTGCCCATCAAAGTCTACGCCGCTGCTTCATTCCATGCCTTGCCTTGGTCCATGCCTCAGAGTCGTTGCTTGTTGCAATCTAACCCAGCCAGCGACAAAGTAAGATCTTCGCGTGGATCCATATATGAACCCGATACAAAACCAGGTCCTGTCTGTTGCAAGATTGATTGTACAGTAGCTACCGGTAGATTGCCATTGTGTTGGTCCTCTTTTCTTCAATGCCAGAACATTGAGAATGAGATCAGTGTGCATTCCAGGAAATTTCCATGCATTTTCTGTGACCAACCAGTCTTGATTTCCAGTGCACACAATGAACCGGATTTGCTTTTGCTCTCTCGGACTGTCTGTTGCATGATGGGCACAGAATAGGAGAACTGACACAAGGGAGGAACTGGCTGAAACGAAGATCCAACAGATAGCTTTGCAGCCATGATCCTTTGGTGCAAAATATGTGGACTTCTATAGTAGTAGGAGAGGTAATTGTTGTATCTATGTAGTTCTTACTGTATTTCTGGGTGTGTGCATTATTATTCTTGATCAAACACCAGGAGAAGTGAAGTTTCTTGCTTGTGTTCTGTGGATGTCAGTCTACCATGCTTAATGTCAGTGATGGTACTCGTGGACGCCCCTGCTTGAATATCCCATCGAAAACCACTGGTCTCTTTATTCAGAATGGCAATGGTGGCCTCGACGGCTTCCTTTCCGAGTTGACGGCGCACTGGAATATCGGACTTTTTGTAGGCACGGCTCAGACCCACCAATCGTTCGCAATGCGCCTTGTTGATGGATTCCACAGCGGATACATACTGCTCGGGGGACAGTTTTCCACGAAGAATCGAAGTATCAAAGGGTGCCTTGGCATTGAAGAACCATCCCGATCCCTGGAGCTCCATCACGTTGGGTCCAAAATTGCTTAATTGGAGTCGAGGAAGTTTGTCGGTGAAAGCTGGAACTTCACTTTCCAACTGTTCCATGGTGTATTTGCTATTGGAGCCTCCCATTATTGTATCTGTCTTTTCTATCCAGCCAGTAGTGTGTGTTGCTGTTGCTCTTGTTGTTGCTTTACTTTCTAAATTATGAGAGCAGCTTTGAAATTTGTGTGGTAGCTTTCTGGGTCAATTGCCTGGGAGCTCTTGCAGGTTGGACACGGTATATGGATGCGGAGTGTTGCTCTTCCAAGTGTTAGTTTCTTTCTTGGATGAAGAAGGATTGGATCTGTTGTCTGCTGTTAACTGTGTTTCTGCATTGTTCCGTGCGGTGTCTTCGCGAACAGATCGCCAAACTTTCCGCTTTCCCACGGATTCGGATTGAATTGTCTTTTCCCTGGATCGGATGCATGGAACAAAGCTGGTACATTTTCTACGTGTCATGCGCTACCTCTATCCTTTTAAAATCAAGGAGAAGTGCAACCAAAGCAATTGGTAAAATCTCCTTTCCAGTGAGGGAAATCTGCTTCCAAGCATCCACTGGACAATTCAACCCGAATTCGTAGTTCCGAATGGAGTGAAGCTCGAAATCTTTTCGGGCCAAATCGTGACCGCTATCCAAATGAGCAACAGTCAAGAACCAAGGTAACCATGCACCGCGAGGACTGAGATGTCCGATCATGATGCTGACAAGCCTTATTTCCCAGGAAACCGGCCGCATGGTGCCAGAGAAGACATTGTGCATGCAGTCGTCGTTGTCGAGGCAGTCCACAGCTACTACGGTGCTGGTGACCTCTGCTCTGACCAAACTGCTCTGGGCTCTGTTGTTGTTGAAATTCAAGACAAAGGAACCAACTACAGAGAATTATTTATTAGTTGGCTCTACAGTAGCGTAGTGGCTGCCGAAGAAGGCGGACTTGCTCCGGATCTGTTTGAGCAGCTGTTTGAGCTACCAGCACCTATTCATCCCAACAAGGACCACTTCCCCACAGACAAGTAAGTATCCCAGGGGCATTTCACATGGATGGTTTCCCAACCAATCTTCAGAGTGAACGCCCAAAGGAATGAAGTTTCTACTAGTACTACAGAGAACCAGCCGAGCGAGGATGGCAGCAGCATTCCCAGCAATCTTCTGGTTGCCAATGAGGTGGGTGTGCAGTCAGAACAAAGATTTATTGCCCAGCGCTCAATTGTTTTTCCAAAGAAGTACCGTACACATTACTGACGGCAATGATTGTGTCTTGGTTTTTCAATGGAGCTCACTGTGATTTTCCTGATCAGTACAGATGATGGAGGAATCAGTACCACACAACCACTGAATCCAGGCAAAGCAATAGTAGTAAAGGAGCACTCCACATTCCCGTGACAGCTCCAGGTTCAACCCAAGCACCAACTCCATTATTTTGAACACACTCAATCTACCTGACTACACCATGGATGCCATCATGGACCAAATACCCAACGTCCCCTCAGTCCAAGGCCTATCTACGATTGGCTATTGCTAGTCGGCAATAAAACTATTCTTGAAACATATCCAAAATGAAGAATGACCCAAAGATGCGACTGGATGACACAGGCTTGCAGACATGGAACTCTACCCACAGAGCTCCTTGCCTTGACCAAGTTAGTTGAGAACCCTACTATAGTAGTCACAAATACATCCTTGTCTGGCTGCATCCCTAATGAGCTGTGTGACATGATGTGATGCGTGGTTATGAAAGGAAATGCCATGAAGGTCATGGCGGCAAAGAGACCAACACAAATGTGGCACCCTCGTTTGTGGGTCGATGCAGCTGTGATCCATGCTGATGTTTTGAAGCCGAAAGAAACAAAAGAAGAAGTCACGCAAGTCCGTGGGTGGAAAAGAAAACATCACTCCTCCTCTGGCTGGCCATCGTGGAGGCTTGACACCCGAGTCGAGTCCTTCATTGTAATCCGAAATTTCAGAATGAACGGATCCTGGACACATCATGGTCATTGATTGATTGATTGCAAATAAATCTGGTTGGAGGATTGGCTTTCTGTGAGCTCCGTTTTCGAATTGTGAGATGGTTGTGCCAACATCAAAGAACGAGCGATTGTCTCACCCGTGGATACTTACTTTTACTTTCATGCATAGGTACCTTACATTGTCCTTTTACACATCATTGATTTGAACTAGATAGATGACGGTCGCTGTTGGAGCTAGCTACAGCCACATGGTGGGGTCTCTCATGCGCACATTTCTCTCAATCCAGGGTTATCTTGGTCCGCTTGAATACCCTCTGCATGCCCACGGCTCGACAACAATAGGATCGCGACTTTGAGGGTTCGTTTGACGTGTGATCGACCAGCCTTGCAGGCTAGCTAGACAGTCAGAGCTTTTGCAAAACTACACGACGCAGATTGGTTCTTATGCCTGCTACCAGGTACCGGTAGCCGATGGCTGATTATTGATGATGTCGCCGCTCGGGTTGTCCAAACTGCAGGCCTCCGGAGCTGTACTCGCTCCGCGCCGCAAAGATACCTGCTCAAACGACTTGGCACTGACCAAATTCATCACAACACCCAGTACAACATCCCAGCGGACAGGAGATGGGGGGATCATTTCCAGCGCAGTCCGCATTTAAGTACTGCACCGTTGGAATCAAACACACTTCGACCGGCACTGACCCCTCAAGCTCGTTGCCATGCACCCAAAGCAACAACAGGTTACTTAACAAGCCAAGCTCGGACGGCAGCGTCCCTTCCAGTTGATTTCTTTGGAGCTTGATTCCTTTCATTGTCCAGGCTTTACCAATCTCGGTACCAATCGTGCCGCCAAAGTTTGACTCGCCAAAGTCCAGAAATTCGATACTCGATAGGTCCCACAACTCCTCCGGGATTGTACTACCCTCCATGTCATTTCCAGCAAACAAAAACTCCCGCAAAATGTTCAGCTGACCTAGCTCGGACGGAAGGGGGCCACCAAAGTTGCTGTTGCCAAGTTTCATCTCCTGGAGGAGATTCAGCTGACCTATCTCGGACGGCACTGGACCACCGAGGAGAGCATTGTCATACAACCAAAGGTTTCTCAAGTCTTCCATCAGGCCAATTTCAGTAGGGACGGTTCCGCTCAATCCAAGGTTCATCAGCAATAAGGAGTGGAGAGAAGTTAGTTTGCCGATGGTCGAGGGCAAAGTGCCACTGAATTCGTTGAAGGACAGATCCAGTTGAAGAAGATTGCGTTGGTCAAAGATTTCCGATGATATTTGCCCCGTTAGCAAGTTTGAATTGACTTCAAAGATCGTGAGGTATGGCCATTGCCCATACTCGTCTGGAATTTCTCCCGAGAACTGGTTGAAACTCAGTGAAAGCCTGTCATGGACACGAGACACACAAATTCCAGTTAGATTCATCATTCAGAACGGCGCAAGACAGAGCTGGTCTCAATGAAAGCACGCAATGCACTAACCACAACAAGTATTCAAGGTGCCTCAACTCGCTTGGCATTGTTCCTCCAAGGTCTTGCCCCACTGATAATTTAGCAAACCGCAGTTGCGACTGTGAGCACAGACTCGATCAGGGGATATCAGTCTGAGCGGGTCCGAACGTACCAAGATCAATCGCAATGACTCTTCTCCGAAAACCTGTGTCACACAGAATCTCTGCCCATTCACATTCATGTTTCGAGGAAAGCCATCGGATATGGGATTCCTCTCTTGGCTCATGCGTGGAAGAACCATCGTCCAGCCTCTTGTATTCATAAAAGACGCACGTATCACTTTCGCCGGCAGCCGGAGGATTGCAGGATACCCATGGAGCATCCTGTGATGTCTGGTAGTAGAACAGGGCCAGAATGTATCGCTGAACCAAGTTTGTATCGTATTGCTGCAGTTGCATGGGATCGTCATACAGGATCCAATCCATGGCCATCTTGTATGGTCCCACGATATTGTTGACTACCCCGCCAACGACGCGTTCCAGTTCCATACGCACCGCCATGTCTCGTGGGGTATCCGTGGGAAACGTGGGGACGGGTGTGACGGGAGCAAACGTTGGCGCGGGGGCACTTGTTGCCGTATACGCAATCACCTCATCTGTCGTTGCCAGACACTCGCATTCTTCGTCGTAGGCCATTTGTCCTCCAAACGAGTAGATCATGTCGTTGTGAACCGCAGCCGCAAATCGAAACCTGTGGACTGCCAAAGAGTCAATGCTCCGCCACATGGTATCCATCTCCTCCAACACGGACACATCGTCCACGGCCACCACCAAATCACTTGGTTCGGGTTCTACAAGGTCGCAAATGTCTTCCACCTGACGTTCTCCTCCCATGGCAACAACCGTGTCCTGGAGACTGACCAGGACCATGTCTGCACGTGCATCCGGTAGGTCCGCCACGCCCATCCAAGAGTTGTCCCCAAGGCTGTATCGTTCCACACTGGCCAGGGGCGCACAAAAGTTGTCTTCGTGTGTAAAGCCACCTCCCACGTAGGCATATCCCGAGGAATGGATAATAGTACCGGCCGCATCCCCACGTGCTTCCACAAGATCTGCCAGCCGAGTCACTGTGAACGCTCCAATATGTAAATTGTGCAAACTAAACACTTGCTTCAAGGCGGTATAGGTGACATCATATCCACCTGCAAAAAAGGCATGTGTGCCATTGTCCCAAAAAGCTAGATCAGACGCTGCCACGACATCGGACGAAAGCGCAAAGGAAAACCAGCTTTGGGAATTCATGTCAAACACCTGCAATAATACAGATTTGAAAAAAGGATGAATGAATGGAATGGAATGGGACAAAAAATGCACCTCTGCTAGCACCTCTGCTACCTAGCTAGCAAAAAGCTAGCAATCCCCTTTCTTTTGCCGCTGGCTCGGTACGAGGAGTACTTACATCTACCTGTGGAATCAGGTCATCTGCGAGTGTCCTTCCTCCCAACAATACGAGTTGATTTTTGATGGCCACAGCGGCGTGTCGATAGCGGGCTACTGGCATAGGAGGCAGACTGATGAAATCTTCGGTTAGCGGGTCAAATGCGTAGAAGGAATCGGAGATGGAACCGCAAGAGAAAATCTGAAAGGTTGGGTCATAAATGTTGTTGCCATAGGGATCATCACAACCACCTGCCAGATAAATGAGGGCGCCATTTTCATCGCCCACCAACGTCGCCGTGTGATCCGAGATGGGTTTGGGGATCCTGACAGACAGTAATTCTTGGCTGCTGCTACTGCAATTGACACTACTAGTACTACGACTGGTCTCGGTGGCATCGCTATTCGACTCCAAGGTAGAGCAAAGGAGGCGCCGTCCGTCCTGGGTGGTCCTTCTACTACCGCTGGCAGGATTGGCCGCTGCCATGGCGGCGGCAATCACTGCCAACACACCGACACGACATACTGCTCTTGGCTTCATGATCGAACAGATCGATCCATCGGCAACAAGTTTATGCCTCGCGATCTTGTCTCGTGAAGTTTAAAAGTGGCCTGGGAGCGGCGACAGTCTCATTTTTGTTGCCGAATTTGTTCGGAACAAGGTCTGAAAGACTTAACATTTTATTCCCGCGGCATGCGCTCACATTTTCCCCTCCACGAACAAGAGACAGGTTGGGCTCGGATGGAGAAGGCCCAAAGTGCGGATGGCAGAGCTTTGTGACGAGCCAAGGACGAGAAGGATAGAAGTAGCGATTAGCACTCGTACCGGCATCGTTCTATGCATAAGAGGAAATTGGGGCTTCGTGATGGAAAATGCAGACAAAAAGAAGATTGCTGGGTAAATGCACGCAACAAAGAGAGCTTGGGGGCAGCTCCATTTAGCCATAGCCCGCATCGCCTCGGGTGGGTACCGTACGGTAGCTAGCTAATGCTAGCGAGAACATCGTACCGGTACATGTAGAGCTGATGTACTAGACTACATGTACAACAATAGCCACACCTCAGAGAGGCAAGCAGGAACCGCGGAACCGCACCACGACAAACAAAAGAATGCTGTTTAATGCTTTACCTCATCGCGGATTTATGATCTTGCCGCCGCTGCGATTTTGTTATATCCGCGCCATCAAGCATCGAGCCAAGAGGCAAGAGACCAGCAAACTTCAGCTTCGATAAATGCGCTCTGCCGTAAAACTCGCAACTCGAATCAATCGAATCGAATCCTCAAGAGCTTGGGGGATGGAGAAAATCAATGCCGTCCCACACGCTTGCAGCGATGTGGCCACTGTGACCACTGTTCGGTGTTCGGTGAAACTTCAAAGCATGCCAGATGCCAGCATTCATTCGTCCATTCATTATTAGTCTACTCGACTACTCCAGTAGTTATTGCAAGCCCTTTGACGCTGTGACCTGCTGTAGACCACTGTTGGTTAAAAGCATTCACCAATGTATGTACTGTACATGTATGCATACATACATACGGTAGCTCATACATATACATCTGAAACAGCTGAGAAACCAATGACCTTTCCTTCTCCTTTCTGGAGAAGCTACTGTAAGCCTATTAATACTGTAAGAGATTTTCGGACGACTCGATCGAGGGGTGCAGCCTCAAACCAAGGACAGTACCTGGTAATGGTTCTGATCGTTCTACCCCTTTTTTATTTTCCCACCTTCCTCTTTTCGTGATCAGGCCTAAACAGGATTCGGTTTGGGTGTCGCCACACAACCCACCAAATGAGACTTGAATCATACTGTATTTTCTTTACCGACTACTACTCTAAAGGAGGCCTCCCAGAAAAGCAAAACATTCTGGTGGTTGGGGAAGATTTGGGGATATGGGTGTCACAAAAAGGGGTCCATGGGTCCACTCCGTCTACGAGCTAAGCTATGGTACTAGTATCCGCCGCGCTTTCTGCTTGCGGAGGTTCACGCTGTACTGGACTGTAATTCCGTGGAGTACGGTACAAACATGCACAGTCGCGCTTTCAGAGAATTCCAGAACAAGGGCCAAAAACCAAAAACAGAAAACAGGCAGCTTTGTAAAACAATGACAATCCCTTTCCTTCGTTCAACTCTTCAACTACCGGTATACGGTATCACTCCATCCCCCCATGTATGCACATGTAGCCCCCACGCTCCACCATACCGGTACGATGTACCATTCACCATACCAGTCATCATTCATCACTCATCACTGCAGCCACTGTAGAAAGCAAGATAACAATATAAGCTACTGAGCAATAGAACACCTAATTTTAAATTTTATCTAGTGTACGGAGAATTTAGAACGACTTCGACTCCGAGACTCTCCATTGTGTGTGGGGTGAGCTGTGGGGTGTGGGGCGCAGCCTCAAACCAACGGGTTCTGACCGCTCTACCGGTGCCCTCTTCTGTTTTACCTGGTAACTGGTATCACCTTCCTCTAACTAACCAGGATTTTGTTTGGGTGCCGTGGTGTCACAAAAAGTGTTGATGCAACCGTCTCTGTGGTAGCCTGATTTCAGCAATAAGCTCATCTGACATCTGACCATTGAGAGAGAAGACGAACAAAGAGGATTTCTTGTGTTGACTACAGAACTTACTGTTAATTCGCTGGAGTACAAACATGCACAGTCAAGTCAGTCAAGGCCTCATTACCAAGATTGGGTGGCGCTCCGTCCCGGCCTTTTACGGACATTGGGTTCGTGGTGACCCGCTGATGAATAGCTTTTACAGCTTACTACAGTGGTTTACCCAATACCCAGTGACAGAACTATCCCGTTTAATCTCAAGCAACAGACACCAACCACGACACTTGCCCTCTTGCCTCCAATATGTACCACCAACTCTGATCGATCGATCGATCTTGCCAGCCTCCAGATAGCTAGCCCCTCCACTGCCCCCGACCTCGAGTTTCCAGTCCACTCCATCTCCCCAGAAATAGTCACCTCTTTAGAAACCGCCTCTACCGTCGACAACCACTAACCCACCCGAGCAACGATTGCTTGGACAGACTGCTTAGATTACCACGCCGATATCATCCACACGTCAAGAAGAATTCGAACAATCGAAGCATGCTGCCTTTACCGAAGATCTGGTTCCTCTTTCTCGTGGGTTTACGGTCTCGCTCTTCCATGCCCTCGAGCGCTGTGGCGGCGGCCAATGTTGGAGGCACTTCTTCCGGTAGCGACGACCCCCTTTCGGGATTCCATGTTGATGCGATCGACGACGATACGGTGGACAACAGAGGCAC